ATTGAGTTTTTTCCTCATGAGGTGTTAATACTGTGCACACATTGCGTGCGTGATTAAGCCTCTGCTTGTTGATAATTATATTCGGATAAAGTTTGCAAGTGTATGGATCATTGACAAATAATAGGCCTAGTGAGTTGAGGGTATCGTTCTATAGAGAATAAACGTTATATTGAATTGTATAGGTGATGTATATGTTGAAATTTCGAATCCACCTATTATTAACATATTTTAATTCTTAACGATGTAATTTAATTTCATTCATACATTTTCGACAATCAATACTTATATTGTATTCATCTTTCTATTTTAAGATAACTTAATTTTGTTCTAGACAATACTCGATCATATTTTTAGTTTGAATTCATGTAAATAGAATACATTCAAATGCACGATTATTTAGGTGATAACGTATTCAATTACACGATTAAATAAGTGATTGCACACGCTATATATATTATTTCTAATATCTATTGTCCGTGTATTAATCATGCAGTGTTCTATTTAGGCCCCGTTTGATATTCATTTTTTTCAAAATGCATTTTTCTCTCTCTTCTTTTCAATCACACATTCTTTATTAAAATAATATTATACGTAAATAAAAAAATATTATTTTTCAACCACACATTTTCCATCAATTTACTATTCAAAAATGCATTTTTACATAAAAAAGTCTCCCGAACACCATTTTAGTTGTGAACCTCCCAACATTAAAACATGCAATTAATTATTTAAAATGAGTGCAAACATTTAAATAATACAATGAACATGCATAATTAATCAATAAAACACAAAAATTACTAAACTATGTGTCTTTGAATTTAAATTTAGCCCTTGTTTGAGAGGGAAAAAATTTATTCTTAAATAGTGTTTTGACATCATTTCAACCACATATTTTTCAATAAAATAATATTACACCCAAATCCAAAATTTTTCCCTATTTTTAATCACACATTTCCCATTAAACACAATATTCAAAAATGCACTTTTTCTCCAAAATGGGGCTCAAACAAGGGCTTAATAAATAAATGGTTCATCTTCATCTTATACAAAAGAATCTAGTTTAACACATTTCCAAAGATAAAATAACATGTAGAACGAAAAATATCGCCTGAAATTTATAAATATAAAAAGAAATGTTATGATCCAATTCTTA